ATGTTTACATAATATATGTATGTGTACTGTTTATATTTATTATGTATATATAATACACACACATACAGCATATATTTTGGAAATATTTACATGCATATACATTTATATATTTATATTCTTACATTTTATATTATATATAAATATATTTAATATATAAACATAACATTTTTCTTAAATATATACATGCATGCGTTTGTATTTATATATACACAATAAATATACACAGCACACACATATATATTACGTCAACAAAAACGTTTATTTTGGATGTGATTAATCACTTGACAGCACTAATTAATATGTAAAATATATAAAATAATATATACTATTTTAAATATTTATATAATTATCTCTTTAATTCTTAGAAAAAGTATCATGATCACTGCATGAAGTTCTAGTGATATAAATGTCATTACATAACATATTCAATTAATTGTCTCAATTATCTATCAGAGAAATAGTGGTTGTTTATTGTCTATTATCACTATGCAGAACTTTCCTTTGATGTAAATTTCACTGTGTGTATCTTTCCTTGGAGTATTCAATGGGAATTAACCTACGCTGTTTACATTCACTGTGCACGTTTATGCAATATGACAAACATATTCACAGGCATGGTGATGGCACTTCTTTCACAAAAAAAAATAAAAAAAAATAAAAAAAATTATATTAAAGACATTCATTCACACACACATAGGAAAGAACAATAGGTGAGTGAGTCTATAGTGCATGTCTGTGATCATGCATGCAGACATGAAGGTCAATATATGCTGAATTAGCACAATCTCTTACAATCTACACTTCAATGAAAGCGTGCCGCCGCTCTCCAAGGTGCTGGATGGCTGGTCTGGACTGATCTGTAAAAAGAGGCAAGTATAAGACCGTTGTAGCATTCTGAGGCTTTTCCTTATCTGTGCAGTCACACGAGCGGACCTCATTAAAGCCACTGACCGCAAACAGAACACAAGATTCACGATGAGTGTTTTATGGGTTGAAAGAAAAAGCACCTTTTCATCCGTTTCAACTCTCTGAATGTCAGTGTGTGCGAGAGAGATATAGAGTAGACACATATCTGGCAGTGTGAAAGTATGTGAATGTGTGTGAGGGTATATGTATAATCTATCCTTGTCCTCTCACCTCTTTCTAGAAACAATAGGATCCGTCCCCTCGAGGCACTGGACAGAAGGAGGACGTGATAAGGCCGCTGTTCTCTGCTCTGAACTGACATTTCACATGTGCCGTCTGTGACTCTAACAGCAGAACACACAGTTTTACAAACTGCCCCTCCTGACCAGCAACACAGACTCAATGATTCTCCTCAGCAAACCCAAAACCAGCCATGTGAATCTGGCATTGAACAGACAAGGTATTTCCACAGAACAAATTCCCTTACATGCTGAAAAATGCAATATAAACACATCGCGAGAGAGACAAAGAAAGTCTGGTTCTCATTAACCTTTCCCAGCTAGTAATAGCATTGCAACCAAAAAGGAAAACTCCCACTCTAAAAGAGAAAGGAAGAGAATAAAACCTGCTTCAGAATGACCACACAGAAAAAAAAGTAACTAAACCACTCAACAACATACAGTAACAACATAAGCACTGAATGAGAGGATAGTCTTGCAAATAACAGCTCGGTATAGTGGCTCTTTGAGCAGAATACAAAAAAGATACTTTGATGAACGTTTGGGTCCAAACAGCACTGGATCCCACTGACTTTCAATGCATGAACAAAAACAGCTGAAATATTCTTTAAAACATCCTTTGCAGAGGTAAAAAGGTTCTTCCTTTAAAACAGTTTTTCTGCCATGACATTTTTCATTCCATTGATTTCCATTCATATGCAGGAGTCCAGAAACACAAGTTTATTGTGATTTTCAGAGAATTTTGCTGCGTTCCAAAGTTTTTTGAAGTTAGGAAGGTAATTTTCTCTGCACAATTGCGTACACAGTTAGATTCTAAACTTGTATATACAGTTTAACAAGCCCTTTAAGTGATATTCATCATTTAATGCTTCTCTATTCATAAGGATTGATATATGAACTGATGTTGTCAATTAAGGTTCAATCATAATGTTATTTTTTTCTGTAAACCAGTATAAAACTATTGGTATCTCCCTCATACAGAGTATAAAATATAGCCTACCAGTCCTGTGTATTTAGTCTCCATCCAATATACCGATTGCACAGACAGACCCATTATGTTAAATATGTGCGTGTCAACCAGCAACCAGACATTTGCTTCAAAGATGCCACTCATGCAGAAAACGAATTAGTGATATGTTTTAACATTTGCATAATAAATAGAAAGAATCCACAGGCGCTGTGTACCGGACACCGAGCTGTGCTGTGTTTTTCTTGCACGGGATGTTTGCGCAGGAATGTGGCGTGTGACAGCTCTTGGCAGTAAAGGGGAAGAAAGTGACCTTTGCTTGGGTTTGCTTGCAGTAAACATCTCGTCACATGTGCCAGTATGAAATATGGCAGGTTTCAGCTGCTCCAAGAACAAATGCTGAGGAATAATCGCAGATTTATTTCAAATGCTGGGTGTTTGTGTACACATACAGTAATGTGAACTTCCTCCTTGCATTTTAGATTCATTACACTAAATTACATTATCCACTGACCTGCATGAAGGAGCATAACCATGACACATTTGGGGTTTAGTGGCCATACATCTTCTTCTATAGCTTCCCCTGGTTTTACAGCACACCCAAATGTGGCTCATCCAGCAGGGGGGAGGCTGTACATGAGAGACTATGGCCTGGGGCACAAGACCCTGTCTGAAGTCTGCTAATGAGCCTATTCTACACAGCTGAGTCACTTCATTCATTAAGACAAAACTGGCACTGCATTGCCCACTGCCTCTATTCCACTTTTAATGATGCTAATACAGAATGATAAAATATGTTGCATTTCCTTTCCAAGTTTATTTTACAGGGCTGTAATATAGATAACAGAACTATCTAGTTAAGTTTCAGGTTTTTCTTTTAATCAGTAAGGCTAAGTAAACCAGCACAGAACTTCTGGCCCATCAATATTTAAGATTTCTCACCTCTTTGGCTCTGTCAATTGCACATTTGTGTAAACTATTTTTGCAGCATTACAACAGGAAAGGGGAGTTAATATTTAATGCCAATTAGAAAGAGATGATTTGAGCAAAAGTAATTAAAGCCGCTATGTTGCGGTTTGCTGTAAAAGGTTATCATTTAATATTAGCACATACAGGGACAAATATGTATGCAGAGCAAGGCGAGGTCAGGGTTTACGCGAATACAGAGACAAAATATTAGTTAATAAATGAGCAAATATAGCACAATGCTGCAAGTGCTAAACATACATGATTTGGAATGTTTAGGTCTGCTTGAAGGTCTACTTGAATCGGCCTGTTCTTTTAAATATATATTTTTTATTTTCTTCACAGAAGAAAATCGATTTCCAGCTAAAACGGAGTTTTGAAGAAGTATTGAGAATGATGCTCTGATGCCCTCTTGTGTTTGGATGGAAACTTTCATTCTGAAGCGACTGGACCGACATACCCATTATTCGGTTCTTTTAATCACTTCGCTGGAAAGAACCGGTTCCTGACACGACGTGATATTTTACGTGTTAAGAAACCATATGCTTGCACAATTTTTAACGTGAATGTTTGAATTTGATTCAGCTTTTAAAAATATGTAAACATAATCCACAATTCCGTCAAAAACAATATCAAATTACCTATTTCCTGAACCTTCTAAAATAATCATATTTATTCTAAATGTATTTGATGTATGAACTGCTCTCCTACATCTCTTTGCACGTGACACCTTTACTAAAGGGCGCGCAAGATGAACACGTGCTGCTGAGTGTATGGTTTGCATGTGACAACGGATTTGAGGAGAAAAACAAAAGCCTTTCTGTGAAATGTTAACGTCCCCTAAAATAACTTTCTGCCACTATAAACTGCATACGTAACATAAACGCTGTACAAACAAGCTCACAAGCTGTTTTGTTCTCTCATTTAAAAGTGTTTGTAGTTAACTTTCAAATAACTGGTGAATGGCAGTGGACTGCAGTTTTTGCATAACTTACCCAGGAATACCCATCTTTCAAATCCTCAAAATAATTCGTGCTAACTTTCAACTGGCGCTCGTCGGACCGAACTTTGTTTTCTTAGTTCAGTTAGTTGATGACTCAAGATCCGGTAGGACCGATTCTGATTCTTGTACGAATCGTTCGGAGGTTTAACCGATTGCTTGAACGCTTCACCGTTACCGATTGATTGAGGACAATATGACAAACCGCCGATGAATGTGATCTGTAAATATTTACTAAAATAAAACAGGAAAGCTCTGGAATTTTCTCACGATTGTTTTTGTTTTTATTTCCACAGTGAAATAAATAGGCTAATATTGTGCAGGGATTTATATTCTATAATAATAATATATTGTTATTATTGTTGTTACTGCGATTTTCAAATCAAAGCAGCGAAATTGGACAAAAACAGAGTGATTGCATTACTTTGTTGGAGGTTGTAAACAGCCATCATAGACGTTCCTCGCGTCGAGCCACCTTGCTCACCTGGGCTTCGGCGGATTTATTCAACTAAATTAACATCACATGCTAGGAGAAACTGATGGAGCCACTGAACAGCAAAAACCTGTATTAACTTGTGTTAAAGTGCAACACAAATCTTTTATTCTGAAAATCACTGTATTTCTAAACATGTGCTTCTCTGGTTTTCTAACTAGCATGCATGCCACGGTTTGAGTCGTCACAATGGTGAATATTGGTAAGATAGATCACATTGACAGCAATAGAAAGTAAGTCAAATCTCACTGTGAATGCATATGAACACATTACAAAAGTTTTAGGTTCAAATGTACGTTTATTTAATTCCAAAGCAAGACATTGCAAATACTATGTTGTTTGTGTGTGACACAAATTCAAGCAGTACTTTGAAAACAATATGTTGTGTGTATGTGTGTGTGCATACATGAGTCTGGGATATACTTATTAAATTAGAATAGAATTGTTTTGGAACTCATGGGTGTTTGATCCTCTTAATGGACCTGTTGGTGTTATCATCTAAAAATCCATTGCATCATTTTTAAACTGGGTTAAAATTCACAAAGCTCTCCTTGTGTTCAGTTGGTAATTAAATGGCCTTTGTAATTATCCTACCAGTGTAGTTCACTCCTTGGCATACTGTGGATCCTTGTGAAATCCATCGCTCACTGCAGCTTCTGTGCATCCGTGTTATATAGGGCACATCTGCAACACTCCCATCATGCCGAGCTGCAAGAATGTGAATGCAACAAACACGACCTCGAGCACTCATGCTGGTGCAGTCGTAAGATTAGGATATCCATCCTCTCACATTCATCTGCACTCTTCTCTTCCCCAAAGGAATGTGCAGATATTACCTTGAACATTACAGGTGAGCTTTGCTTTACACAGATAACTGTGCAGAAATTTCCAAAGTTGCCAATTAACAGTGCACAACACTTCAGTTCCTTCTGGAAATATTTAGGATTAAGTGTAAGAACCCAAACACAAAATAATTATATCAAGTTGTCATGAGAAATCAAAACCGATAATTTCAGGATCATTTGACCCAGAGTGTTTTACTGACACATTAGTGAAAACAGAAGATGCATACACACACGCACCACACACATTATGCTAATGAGTTATTTAAGGAGTTAATTGCATAGATGTACTGTATGTAATAATGAAAGATTCATTCTGGCTTATGCAAGCATCTGTGTTGAGTTTTGAAAAAGCAAAACTGATTTATTGGATTATATAAACTGTGATAAACATTAAACATTTGGTACTATGCAAATAATCTGTAATTATATTACTAAATAGTTATGTTATCCAGTATTTTTTATTTTTTTTTGTTGACACTACTAAAATGTTGTGGGGGTTTTACTCCCACAGAATGCTACGTATAAATATATACATAAAATACTGATAATGCATGGATTGTATTTGTTTAGGACATGCTTCTCAGTTTTTGTCAAATTCCATATGAAAATGTACTTCTAAATGAACAAGACCTGTGTTTATAAAATGTCCTCGGTGTCCTCCACAGTGTTTCTGGGACAGCAGCGACAGCAGCACCGTCTGATCCAGTGCAATAGCCGCAATCTCCGTGAAGTTGGCCCGACTACGCCCCCTCTCTGGGATTCTCCTCTCGCTCCTTCCTCCCTGTCTTCACTCAGGACATGCATAGAAATCTCCATCCTTCCACTGACACTTTCCATCTGTTCAATCGTCACTCTTTGAGCTCCTCCAAACTGCTCTCCATCTCCTTCCAGCATCAGCGTTTGCACGGCTCTGTCCGTAACCCGTCTGAATCTGTCCACTCTTACTGCTGCATCACTAATGAGGCGCTCCATAATCTCCAAGTGCTGACTACTTGTTCCTGTTTCTTCGCTCTTCAGTCGATTGATCTCAATCAGCATACACTCCCTTAACAGAAGTATTTCCTTTTCCTTTTCTATGAGCTTGAGTCTGTCAGTTTCTCTCTCATGCTGGAGGGCTTCATTATATCTTTCCATTTCAGCTTTCCGTAGCTCCAACTCGATTTTTTCTCTTTGCATTCCGAGTCTTTCCAGTTCCTTCCTCTTTAGGTCTTGTAATCTGTTCTTAAGTTCATCTTTCATGTCCTGTATTCTCCTTTTCATTGCATCTATCTCTTCATACTGTGGTAGAGCATCTCTTTCCTGGTCTTCAGTTTGTGTCTCTTGAGTTCTCTTCTGCTTAACATCCTCTGTATGTTCTTGAATGGATTTTGTAGTCGCTATTACTTCTTGGTCTTCTTGTTCACTCTGAATATTAGTTTCCTGTTGAGTCTTCACAGTCCTTGCCTGTCTTTGTATGTCAGTCTCAATTTTTTGCAGTTCTCTACTTTTGCATTCATAGCTTCGTGTGAGATGCTCAATCTCCTCAGTATGTCTCAGTAGCTCAGCTTGAACCTTTTCCAGGCTGTTCCTCCTCCTCTCGAGACTCTCCATGATCACTGACTTTTCTTCTTCAGCGGTTTTACATTCATCCCTCAATTTATGCAGGTGATCCTTTGCCTTCTCCATCTCAAGAAGGCCAGTTTGAATGATCTTCATTTTGTTCTCCATTTCGTCATGTTGCCTCTGTAGTTCAGCTCTCATGATGTTTAGCTCATCTCGTTCTAGGGTCGCGCCATCCATTAGCTGAAGAACTTCTCTTTGGGCGTCAGTTTTGGAGGTTTTTGCATCTGTTTCTCCATCTGTTTTGGCCCAATAAATCTCAGTCAGTTCCAGACTGCTGTCTCTGTCTGTCTTTTTCTCCTCTTTAGTGTCTTGTACTTGTTCCAGTGCTTTTTTGTATGTGACTTTCTCAGCATCCCTGTCACTTCTAATGGAAGTATCATATGTTTTTCCCTTGATTTTTAGTGTCTCCTGCTCATTTTGCTTTTGTTGAAGTAACTCATTTTCAATGTTTTCCTTCTCTTCTTTCAGTGACGCTATGGTCTTTTCCAGTTGTCCCAACTTTCTCATGAATGTTTCTGTGATGCTCTCTATTTCCTTATTTTTCTTATCAAGGTTGTTTGATAAATCCTCCTTGTCTTGTGTAAGTCGTAGCAGTTTTTCTTCATTTCTTGACTTCTCCTTCATGACTTCCTTCATATTTCTCTCAAAGTCTTCCCTCTGCCTTTGGATGTCAGCTTTTGCTTGTTCCAGTTCATGTCTCTCTTTTTTCATCATTGTCTTCATTCTCTCCAAATCTTCAATTTCTTTGTTTAAAGAGTCCATTATTTCTCGCACTTCAGATGCATGCTTGTCTTTTGACTTTGTCACAGTGGGTTGTTTTTTCTTTGTTGCCGTTGTTTCGTCTTCTAATTCCTTTTGTCTGCTATCATCTGTTTTCTTAAAGTCATCCAAACATGTTTGTGTTTCAGCATCGACTGAGGTGGTCTTCATTTGATATATCTCAAGTTCATCTGTTTTTTGTTTCTGTACTTCTACTTCCTCTCTTAGGACATCAGCATCCCTCTTTGAATGATCTTTTGTTTTCATCTCTTCTGGTAAGCGATGCATTTCTGCTTCCTGTCTCTTTATTTGAATCTCCATGTTTACCATCTCTAATTCAGATAATTGTCTGTTTATTTGCTCTTGCAGTTCCTCCATTGTTCTCGTCTTTTCATCTAAAACGCCTTCCATGTCCTCTTTTTCTTTCTGTATCATGTCTTTATCTTGTTGCAGCAAAGTTCTCTCATGTTGTACACTTTGTTTGCTGACTTCAGCCTCTTTCTTCAGTCTGTTTAAATCAGCTCTCTCCTTTTCGATACGATATTTTTCACTCTCAGTTATCTTTTTGCTGTTTTCAATCTCCTTTTTGTCCCTTTGAATATCATTATTAAGCTTTTCAAGCTCTTCTTGTTTTGTCTGCATATTTTTATTGAGGATATGTCTGTGTTCATCAATTTCAGACTTCTCTTTCTCAAGCACATCTCTCTCTCGTTTGATGACCGTCATGATGTCTTCTAATTCCTGCTGCTGTTGATCTAATGTGAGCTTTTTCTTTTCAATCTGATTTTTTTCCACGTCAATTGTGTTCCTCAGTTCTTCTAGTTCATCTATCTGTTTCTGGAGATCAGCCTGCAATTCAGCATCTGTCTTTTCTTCTTCAGTGTCCTCCCTGACCATTTGTAAAGCAGCTTGGATCTGTTTTTCACTCTCCACTGCTGTTTTTACATCTTTCTTCTTTATTTTGGTCTCGGCTCGCTGATCAATATCTGTCAGTAAATCTGCTCTTTTCTGCTTTAAATTTTCCATCTCTTTTTCAAACTGATCTCTGTTTTCTGCCATTTCTTGCTTGGGATTTTCAATCTCAAAATTTAAGTTTTGCAGTTCATCTTTCTTACTCTGGATTTCTTTCTTCAAAGCATCAGTCTTCTCTCTTTCCTTTCCAAGAGGTTCCTTTCCCCTCTTTGTATCTGCTGTGATTTTCTCAAGCTCATCGGTCTGTTGCTCTGCATCAACTTTGATTTGATCAAAAACATTCTTCTGATCTTCAAATGTTTTGATGTTTTCTTGTAGTTGTTGTCTCTCTTGTTCCAGATGAGTTTTCATGCTCTCCAAATCATTTCTCATTTTTCTGTTTTCATTCATCAAGTCATCAACCTCCTGCTGCTGTTGATTCATAACATTGCGCCTCTTTTCCAGCTGCATTTTCTCAGCCATCACAATGTTTCTTAGGTTATCTACATCTTTTCTTTGCATGTCAAGTTCTCTTTCTTTGTTTTCCAGATCCTGTTCTTTAAGTCGTATTTCATTCTGTGTGCTTTCCACTGTGTCTCTTAGCTGTGTTATATCAGTAATCTTCTGCTCCAAGGCCAGCCTCTCTTTGTGCAGTTCTTGCATTGTCAAGTCATTCTTTTCTTTTTGCTTTTCAAGATCTTCTCTTAGAGTCTCATTCTCTGCTTTGCTCTTTTCTAAGTTCTCTTTTTGTGTCTGAAGTAGCAGTAGATCTGATTGCAGAAGCTTTGTCTGCCTTTCGATTTCGGCACGCATAGTACTGAGCTCTTCTTCTTTTCTTCTCATGCCTTCCAGTCTCTTTGGAATGTTCTCTTGGTCTTTACTGATTTGAGAGGTGATTTGGTCTGTTTTCCTGATTTCCTCATTAAGCTTTTCAGACTTTCTTTGTAAATCTGCCTTGATCTCCTCCAGCGAGTCTTTTTCTTTTTGAATATTTCGTTTGTCCATGTTCATTTGCACAATGTTGCTGTCCAGTTGAGATCTTTTATTTTCAGTTTCGTTCATCAACTGCTCCAGCATTTTCTTTTCCTCTTCAATGATCTTCTTCTCCAACTGTAACTCGGTTTTTAATTGATCCATTTCATGTTTTTCTGTTAACAGTCTGTTCAGCATGTCTTTCTTCTCTTCCTCAGATTTATTTCTAAGTTGCTCTAGGTCTTCCAACTCACTCTTGATGGTTTTCAGAATGTTTTCCATCTCTTGTTTTTCTTGTTTTACTTCGGCTTTCTCTTTGTCAAGTTCACTTTTCTCTCTTTCTAAGATGTTCCTTAGCTCTTCTACTTTGGTTTTCTGTTTCTGTATATCTGCTTCCCAGAGAGTTACTTTCTCTCTCTTATTTTCCATTTCAGTGGTTTTCTTTTCTAGCTCAGCATTCATTTTCTCCAAAGCCTTTCTTTCTCTTTGCATGATTTCAATCTCCTCTTGCTGTTGTCTGATTATTTTCTCTAGCTCTTTATGTTTAGTCTGTATTTCTGCATTCGTCTGTTCAATTTGATTCCTTTCTTTTGCCAACCTCACCTTGTCATTTTCTATGTCCTCTAACTGTCTTTGTATCTCAACTTCAGCATGCTTCTCTTTTCTTTTGTTTTCTTCTGCTAGTTTATCCATATATTCTCTTTCTTTTTGTTGTTGAATAACTAAAGCATTTAGATTTTCCCTCTCTTTTTGTAAGTCCTGCATACTTTTCTCTAGAGCATTTGTCTTGTCATGAATCTCAGTCCTTGCATCTTCTAATATTTGTTTTTGAAACTTGATCTCTTCTTTTTGGTCATTTAATTGGCTTTGCATCTTTTCAGTATGTTCCATCTCTCTATTAATTCTCTCTTTGGTGGTTTCAACATCCTCTTTCGCTTTCAGTAATTGATCATTCAGATGTGCTATTCTTTTTCTCTCAGTTTTTAAGATTTGCATGTCCTCGTCATCTTGTCTGGACCTTTCAGTGGCTACCTGTGTCTCAACCCACTTTATTTCTGCAGCTTTCCCAATGTCTTCCAGTTGTTGTTTTTGTTTGTTTATTTCACACCTCTCTTGTTCTAGCTCACTCTTCTCCATTGTCACTTTGTTCATTATTTCTTCTAGGTCTTTTGTCTGCTTTTGAATTTCGTCTTTCATGTGCAGCAGCTCGTCTCTTCTCATTCTTAAATCTTCATTTTCCCTTTTAATTTGTTCACGTTCTTTAGCCATCTCATCCTTAAATTTCTCCAGATTTTTCTTCTCTGCCTCTCTATCCTCTGTTTTGAACTTCTGTAGATTTTCTAATTCCTTAAGCTTAATATTCAGTTCACTCACCATATCCTGTAATCTAGTTTCTGCTTCTCTCTTTTCTTTTTCTAGAAACTGACAAGTGCTTTTCAGTTCTGATTTTTCCCTGTTCAAATTGTCATTCATCTGTTCCAGGTCATTCTTCTGTCTCTTGGTTTCATTGAGGATTGCTTCAATCTGCATAATTTCATTTTGTAAGTTCTTATCACTGTCTGTGTCCCTTATTTCTGCAGCAATTTGCTGCATTTCAACTTTCTTCTTTTCCAGCTCGCCCTTCTCTCTTTTTATAATGTCCATCAGGTTTTCAATTTCTCTCTGCTCATTCTGGAGGTCAGCTTTCATCCTTTCTATTTCTTCTTTCTCTTCTTTCAACGTGTGCATAACACTGTGTGTTTCATCATATTGCACTTCTGCATTGGTTTTCTGTGGTTCTTCTTTCTGCAAATCTGTTTTTATTTGCTCCAGTTCATGTTTTTCTCTCTCACATTCCTTTCGTATCTTCTGAATTTCTTCTTTTTCATTGTCAATTTCAGTCTTCATTTTTTCAGATTCTGCTCTCCTTTGATGAAGCTCTTTTTGTCTCAGTTCTTCAATGTGCTCCATTTCTTCTTGCTTTGTTTTAATTTCCTCCTCAATCTGTTTAATCTTGTTTATCCATTTATTTGCCTCAGTAATAATCATTTTAAACTCTGCCTGTTCTTTGACAAGTTGAGCTGCCATTTCTTCTACCCTTTCCTTTTCTTTCAGTACATCATCCAAAAGTCTCTCTATGTCCTCTGCTCTCCTTAACCTTGATTCCAGCTTGTCTCTTTCTGTCTCTATGTTTTGTTGCATAAGCCTAAACTCCTCTTTTTGTGTCTCCAGATCGACTCTCATTCTATTCAGTTCATTTCTTTCTGAGTTCAGCATTGCCTGACGCATCTCCATTTCCATTTGCTCCTTCTGCAGCCCAGTGAGTATTTTTTCAACTTCACCCCTCTCCTTCCGTAATGCCTCCTTTTGGTTCTGTATTTCCTCCAGGTGTCTTTTTATAGACTCCTCTCTCTCTGGAAGTATGTCAGTTAACTCATGTTCCTCCATTTCTTTGGTGTCCACCATCTCTTGTCTCTTTCTTTTTATCTCTGTATTTATGAAGTCCAACTCCTCTTGTCTCTGGTTCATCTCAACAGAGATGGTTTCCATTTCTCTCTTCTTTTCTTGAAGTTGAACTTCCATGTTTTCTATAATCTCCTGCTTGCTCTTGATCTCCATTAGAATTTTTTCCATGTCCATCTTAATTTTATCTCGAGTCATTTCCAGCTCAGATCTTTCATTTTCCATATTCTGTCTGCATAACTCCATCTCTTCATATTGTTTTTCAAGAGCGGCTTTATATTTCTCCAGATTCTTCTTCTCTCTGTCAGTGTGTTGTCTCATTGTCTCAGTCTCTTTCTGGTCTCTCTGTAAAACAAGTCTTGTCTTTTCTAGTTCCCTCTTCTCAGTCATCAACGTTTCAGTAAGGCCATCGGCTTCATCTTTATTGAACTCCAACTTTACTGCCATGGATGGATCAGGTATATCTTTATATTCTGTTGTCAGTGCATTGTCTTCTTGGCTTGAGTCCATTTCAGTTTCTTCACTTCTCATTTTGAGCTCTGTGTCCTCATGATCTCTCATTCTCTCTAATTCATCTTCCGTCCCTTTTGTTATGAAAGTTGTATATTCCTTATGAATGCCTGTGTGTTCCTCAACAATTTGTTCCTGAGGGGCTGAAATGTCACCAACAGGTATGTCTTCTAGTTTAGATGTTTGTGTAGCAGAACTAACCAAAATTAATTGCAGCCTCTGTGTTGGTTGTTTTCTCTTCATCTCGTCCAGTGCCTCTCTCTGATGTTCAAGGATTTTTTTGTTTCTTTCAAGTGCTTCCCTTTCCCTTTGAATCTCAGACAAGAGTCTGTTGACTTCATCTATCTGTATCTGTTTTCCTTGAGAGGCCATTTCTTCTCTCTTCTGTTGAAGAAGCTGTCCAGATTGACGTTCTTCTTTTAATGTTTCAGACAAATCTTTCTCTTTTTCTAACTGGTGTGTCTGCTCTTTCATGATCTTGGTTTCATCACTCTGGCTCTTGATTTCAGCCTTGGACTGTTCCAGATCTTGCCTCTCATATTGCACTATTTGCAATTCCAGTTTGATTTGCTCCTCTTGAGCATTGAGTTTGGCTTTTGTGTGCTCCATTTCCTTCTTTAGATGGTCTATCATATCCTTGCTCCTATCAGTTTCTTTTTGTTCTATCAGTATCTTGGCCATCAGTTGATCAAGTTCCTCTCTCTCCATCTTTGTTTTTACTCTCATCTCTTCTTCCATTTGTTGTCTGTATTTTTCAAAATCATTCCTCATGTTCTCCAGATCTCTCCTCTCCTCATTCACAGCTCTTATACTCTTCTCCAGTCTTTGCTGCTGTTGATTAATTTCAGCCTCTTCAGTCTGTAAGTCATTTTTGATTTCTTCAATTTCGTCTCTTTGTTTTTGTAATGTCTTCTGGAGAACATCCAGCTCATTCCACTTCTTCGTCGTGTCGTCTTTTTCTTTCTCTAATTCATTTCTCTGTCTCAGGATTTCACCAGCCTTGTGCTCAAGAAGCTTCTTCTCTTCATCCATTGATCTTTTACTCATCTCTTCTTTTTCTTTTTGTTCTGTCATGTGTGTCTCCAGGTCATCAGCATGTCTTTGCAAATCTTCTCTTTCCTTTTCAATGTTATTTCTATCTTTTTGCAGAAGATCTTTGTCTGTCTCAAACTTTTGATTTTGTTGTGATATATCAAACATGATTTTCTCTAGTTCACCCCTTCTGCTGTTTGTTTCTTCTATGACACTTTCATATTCCTTGTTAGCCTGTTTAAGTTTTTCTTCCATTTCTGTTTTTTCGTCTTTCATTCTGGTCTCCTCCAGAACATTCCTCATAGACTCAGTCTTTGACCGCTCATATTCATCAATTCTCTGTTGTAATTCTGTCCATTCATGATTTATTTCTTCTCTTTGTTTTTCTAGAAGGTCTCTGCAGTTCTTCAGCTCTTGTTTTTGTTTATTAATGTCTGTGTTCATCCTTTCCAGATCTTCTTTTCGTCTATTTGTTTCTTCAGTGACACTCTCAATTTCTTCATTTTCCTTTTGTAGATGCGCTTCCTTTTCTTTCAGTGTTTCTCTCTCCTTATTAATTTCCTCTTCCATGTATCTTATTTGTTCACTTTCTTTTTGCAGTTCAGTCTTTATTTGAGCCAGAAAATCTTTTTCATCATTGATCTTTTGTCTCTCAAGTTCTAATTCTTCTTCATGAAGTTTAATATAATTTATCTGTTCTTCCTCCTCATCCAATAATTTCTGTACAATTTCTTTGCTTTTCTCAATATTAGATTTTTCTAGATCAGTCTGTTTTATTTTGTTGTCTAGCTCTGATCTCTCTTCTTCTATTTGCTTTCTTTGTAACATTATTTCAGACCTCATCTTCTCCAGGTAATTTCTTTCCTGTTCAATGATCTTTCTGGCATCATTCATTTTCTTCTGCTCATGATCTATTTTAGTTTTCTCTCTTTCCAGTTCACTCTTCATCTGATCAAGTTCTTCTTTCGCTTGTTCTTTCTTAATTTGTTCTTGCAGTGTGTTCAACTCTTGCATTTTTAGGCTTATGTCTTTATGTTCCTGCTCAGCTTTAGATTTCAGCTCCAGAAGCTTGACTTTGTTATCTTCTAGACCTTTTCTTTCTTCTTGTATTTCCTTTTGTTCTGTTAGATATTCTTCCTTCTGTTTACTCACTTGAGCATCAAATTCATCAATTTTCAGTTGTAACTGTGTCCATTTATGGTTTAATTCTTCTCTTTCTTGTTCTAGAAGGTCTCTGCAATTCTTCAGCTCTTGTTTTTGTTCAGTTATGTCTGTATTCATTTCCAGATCCTCCTTCTGTCTCTTTGTTTCTTCAGTGACACTCTCAATTTCTTCCTTTTTCTTTTGTAGATGAGCTTCCATTTCCTTCAGTGTTTCTCTCTCTTTCTTTAATTCCTCCTCCATGTATTTGATTTGTTTGCTTTCTTTTTGCAGCTCTGTCTTACTTTGAGCTAGAATAAAATTTTCATCATTGATCTTTTGTCTTTCAAGGTCAAGTTCTTCTCTCTGGAGTTTAGTATAATTTCTCTGCTCTTCTACTTCATCCATTAATTTCTGAACTATTTCTTTGTTCTTTCCAATTTCGTCCTTTTCTAGATCAATGTCTTGTATTTTCTGGACAAGTGCTGATCTCTCTAATTTGATTGCGTCTCTCATGTCTTCCATTTGCTTTCTTTCTGTCATTATGTCAGACCTTATCTTTTGCAGGTCTTTTCTTTCCTGTTCAAACATCTTCCTGTCGTTTTCCATTTCAGTTTTCTCTCGTTCCAATTCCCTCTTTAACTGATCAAGTTCTTCTCTCTCTATCTTTGCTTTTACTCTCATTTCTTCATCTTTCTCTTTTTCTTTCATAATATGTTCTTGCAGTGTGTTCAACTCTTGTATTTTTAGGCTTATGTCTTGATGCTCCTGCTCAGCTTTAGTCTGCAGCTCCAGGATCTTGACTTTGGTCTGTTCTAGACATTTTCTTTCTTCTTCCATCTCTTTCATTAAATCCTTTTCCTTCTGTTGTCTGACTTGAGTATCAAATTCATCAATTCTCTGCTGTAACGGTATCCATTTATTGTTTATTTCATCTTTCTCTTGCTCTAGACGCTCTCTGTATTTACTCAACTCTTGTTCTTGTTCATTTATGTTTGTGCTCATCTTTTCCAGATCCTCTTTCTGTCTCTTTGTTTCTTCAGTGACACTCTCAATGTCTTCCTTTTCCTTTTGTAGATGCGCTTCCTTTTCTTTCAGTGTTTCTCTCTCCTTATTAATTTCCTCTTCCATGTATCTTATTCGTTCACTTTCTTTTTGCAGTTCAGTCTTTATTTGAGCCAGAAAATCTTTTTCATCATTGATCTTTTGTCTCTCAAGTTCTAATTCTTCTTCATGAAGTTTAATATAATTTATCTGTTCTTCCTCCTCATCCAATAATTTCTGTACACCTTCAGTGTTTCTCTCTCCTTCTTTATTTCCTCCTGTATGTATTTGATTTGTTCATTTTCTTTTTGCAGCTCTGTCTTACTTTGAGCTAGAAGATATTTTTCATCAATGATCTTTTGTCTTTCAAGGTCAAGATCTTCTTTCTGGAGTTTAATATAATTTATCTGCTCTTCTACTTTATCCATTGATTTCTGAACTACTGCTTCGTTCCTTTCAATTTCATCCTTTTCTAGATCAATCTTTTGCATTTTCTGTTCAAGTGCCGATCTCTCAAGTTTGATTGCTTCTCTCATGTCTTCCATTTGCTCTTTCTCTGTCATCATGTCAGACCTCATCTTATGCAGTTCTTTTCTTTCCTGTTCAGTCATCTTCCTGTTATCATCCATTTTCTTCTGCTCATGATCTATTTCAGTTTTCTCTCTTTCCAGTTCACTCTTTATGTGATCAAGTTTTTCCTTCTCCATGTTTGATTTAACTCTCATTTCTTCTTCTTTCTCTTTTTCTTTCGTAATCTGTTCCTGTTCAGCTTTAGTCTTCAGCTCCAGGATCTTAGCTTTGGTTTCTTCTAGACTTTTTCTTTCTTCTTCCATCTTTTTCTGTTCCTTCATATAATCTTCCTCCTGTTTACTGACTTGAGCATCAAATTCATCAATTCTCAGTTGTAACTGTGTCCATTTTTGGTTTAATTCTTCTCTTTCTTTTTCTAGAAGGTCTCTGCAGTTCTTCAGCTCTTGTTTTTGTTTATTTATGTCTGTGTTCATTTTTTCCAGATCTTCTTTTCGTCTGTTTGTTTCTTCAATGACACTCTTAATTTCTTCTTTGTCTTTTTGTAGATGAGCTTCCATTTCCTTTAGTGTTTCTCTCTCCTTCTTTAATTCATCTTCTGTATTTCCAATTTGTTCGCTTTTTCTTTGCAGTTCAGTCTTAGTTTGAGCGAGAAAATCTTTTTCATCACTGATCTTTTGCCTTTCAAGTTTGGTTTCCTCTTCTCGAAGTTTTAGATAATTTCTCTGTTCCTCTACCTCATCCATTAGTTTCTGAACTATATATTTCTCCTTTTCAACTTCATCCTTTTCTAAATCAGTCTCTTGCATTTTCTGGACCTTTAACGCTCTCTCTGATTTGATTTCCTTCTCAAGATCTTTCTCCATTTGCACTTTTTGCGTCATTATTTCAATCTTTGTCTTCTCCAAGTCTTTTCTTTCCTGTTCAATCACCTTCCTGTCATCTTCCACCTTCTGCTGCTTATGATCTAACTCAGTTCTTAACATTTCAAGCAAATATTTCTCTGTTGTAATAATGTTTTCACATTCAGTTTTTTGTTTCAGGTTTTCTGTCTGAAGCTTTTCCAGTTCTTCTTTCTTTTTCAAAATGCCCTCTATTTCCTTTTCTGTGTCTTCCCTTTGTCTCAAGATTTCATTGCTGTTTTGCTGAAGAGTTTGTTTTTCTGCTTCTAATGCTGCCCATTCTTTCTCCATTTCTTCTCTGATATGGTCAAATACATCTTTCTCACTTTGGAGTTGGGCCTTCATTTTAGCAATCATCTGTTTGTCTGTCTGTATCTGTAATTTAACCTTCTTACTGCTCACATCCATCTCTTCCCTCTCGTCATTCATTCTCTTCTTTTCCAGGTGAAGTTCCTCTTTTAGTGTATTCATGATGTCTTTATTCTTACTGAGTTCTTGTTTCTCTCTTTCTGTATCACTCTTTAATTGCTCAAATTCTTTTCTCTCTTCATTTAGTTTTTCTTTTTCAACTTGCATTTCTTCTTCTTGTGCAATAAGTTTAGCTTTCATGATGTCCATGTCCTCTGTTAGTTTGTTTGTCCTGTTCTTGCTCATTTCAATTTCTTGTCTTTCTCTCATTAATTCATCAGTTTTGGTATTCATTTCCTTTTCCATTTGGTGTCTTTCAGCCTGAAGTTCCTTTTGCATCCTATGAAGTTCATTTCTCTCGTATCTCATCTCTTTCAGATTCTCATCCAGTGTGTGTTGTTGTTGAATTATCTCAGCAGCTCTCATCTCAAGTGTGGCTGTTTCATTCAAAACCTTATTTCTGATTTCTTGTAGTTGCTCTTTTTCTTCAATAATCTGTGCTTGCAGCGTGTTTAACTCTTGTATTTTTAGGTTTACATCATGATGTTCCTGCTCAGCTTTAGTCTTTATCTCCAGGATCTCTTGTAGACCTTTACTTTCTTCTTCTATTTCCCTTTGTTCTGTTAGATATTCTTCCTTCTGTTTGTTGACTTGAGCATCAAATTCATCAATTCTCAGTTGTAACTCTGTCCATTTATGTTTTATTTCTTCTCTTTCGTGTTCTAGAAGGTCTCTGCTGTTCTTCAACTCTTGTTTTTGTTCATCCAGATCCTCTTTCTGTCTGTTTGTTTCTTCAGTGACACTCTCAATTTCTTCCTTTTCCTTTTGTAGATGAGCTTCCATTTCCTTCAGTGTTTCTCTCTCCTTTATTTCCTCCTCCATGTATTTGATTTGTTCTCTTTCTTTTTGCAGCTCTGTCTTACTTTGAGCTAGAAGATATTTTTCATCAGTGATTTTTTGTCTTTCAAGGTCAAGTTCTTCTTTCTGGAGTTTAATATAATTTCTCTGCTCTTCTACTTTATCCATTAATTTCTGAACTATTTCTTTGTTCTTTCCAATTTCATCCTTTTCTAGATCAATCTCTTGCATTTTCTGGTCAAGTACTGATCTTTCTAGTTTGATAGTCTCTGTCAAGTGTTTTTCCATTTGTTCTCTTTGTGTCAATATTTCAGACTTAATCTTCTCCAGGTTGTTTCTTTCCTGTTCAATCACCTTTCTGTCGTTATTCATTTTCTTCTGCTCATGATCAATTTCAGATTTCTCTCTTTCCAGTTCACTCCTTATCTGGTCAAGTTCCTCTTTTTCCATCTTTGCTTTTATTCTAATTTCTTTTTCTTTACTAATCTGTGCTTTCAGCGAGTCTAGTTCTTCTTTTTGGAGTGTAATATAATTTCTCTGTTCGTCCATCTGGTCCAATAGTTTCTGAACTTTTTCTTTGTACTTTTTATTCTTTTCTAGCTCAATCTCTTGTGTTTTCTGGACAAGTGCTGATCTCTCTAATTTGATTGCTTCTCTCATGTCTTCCATTTTTTCTCTTTGTGTCATTGTTTCAGACCGCATCTTCTCCAGGTCTTCTCTTTCCTGTTCAATCATCTTCCTGTCATTTTCCATTTCAGTTTTCTCTCGTTCCAATTCCCTCTTTATCTGATGAAGTTCTTCTCTTTCCATCTTTGCTTTTACTCTCATTTCTTCTTCTTCTTCTTTCTCTTTTTCTTTCATAATATGTTCTTGCAGTGTGTTCAACTCTTGTATTTTTAGGCTTATGTCTTGTTGTTCCTGCTCAGCTTTAGTCTTCAGCTCCAGAATCTTGACTTTGGTCTGTTCTAGACTTTTTCTTTCTCCTTCCATCTCCTCCTGTTTCATTACATCCTTTTCCTTCTGGTGTCTGACTTGAGTATCAAATTCATTAATTCTCTGCTGTAACTGTATCCATTTATTGTTTATTTCATCTTTCTCTTGCTCTAGAAGCTCTCTGTATTTACTCAACTCTTGTTTTTGTTCATTTATGTTTGTGCTCATCTTTTCCAGATCCTTTTTCTGTATCTTTGGCTCTTCAGTGACACTCTCAAGTTCTTCATTTTCCTTTTGTAGGTGCGCTTCCATTTCCTTCAGTGTTTCTCTCTCCTTCTTTATTTCCTCCTCCATGTATTTGATTTGTTCACTTTCTTTTTGCAGCTCTGTCTTACTTTGAGCTAGAAGATATTTTTCATCAGTGATCTTTTGTCTTTCAAGGTCAATTTCTTCTTTCTGGAGTTTAATATAATTTCTCTGCTCTCCTACATTATCCATTGATTTCTGAACTATTTCTTTATTGCTTTCAATTTCATCCTTTTCTAGATGAATCTTTTGCATTTTCTGTTCAAGTGCTGATCTCTCAAGTTTGATTGCTTCTCTCATGTCTTCCATTTGCTCTCTCTCTGTCATCATATCAGACCTCATCTTATGCAGTTCTTTTCTTTCCCGTTCAATCATATTGCTGTCATCATCCATTTTCTTCTGCTCATGATCTATTTCAGTTTTCTCTCTTTCCGGTTCACTCTTTATGTGATCAAGTTTTTCCTTCTCCATGTTTGCTTTAACTCTCATTTCTTCTTCCTCTTCTTTCTCTTTTTCTTTCATAATCTGATCCTGTTCAGCTTTAGTCTTCAGCTCCAGGATCTTAGCTTTGGTTTCTTCTAGACTTTCTCTTTCTTCTTCCATCTTTTTTTGTTCCATCATATAATCTTCCTTCTGTGTACTGACTTGAGCATCAAATTCATCAATTCTCAGTTGTAACTGTGTCCATTTTTGGTTTATTTCTTCTCTTTCTTGTTCTAGAAGGTCTCTGCAGTTCTTCAACTCTTGTTTTTGTTCATCCAGATCCTCTTTCTTTCTCTTTGTTTCTTCAGTGACACTTTCAATTTCTTCCTTTTCCTTTTGTAGATGAGCTTCCATTTCCTTCAGTGTTTCTCTCTCTTTCTTTAATTCCTCCTCCATGTATTTGATTTGTTTGCTTTCTTTTTGCAGCTCTGTCTTACTTTGAGCTAGAAGATATTTTTCATCAGTGATCTTTTGTCTTTCAAGGTCAAGTTCTTCTTTCTGGAGTTTAATATAATTGCTCTGCTCTTCTACTTTATCCATTAATTTCTTAACTATTTCTTTGTTCTTTTCAGTTTCATCCTTTTCTAGATCAATCTTTTGCATTTTCTGGTCAAGTGCTGATCTTTCTAGTTTGATAGTCTCTGTCAAGTGTTTTTCCATTTGTTCTCTTTGTGTCACTATTTCAGACTTCATCTTCTCCAGGTTGTTTCTTTCCTGTTCAATCACCTTTCTGTCGTTATTCATTTTCTTCTGCTCGTGATCAATTTCAGATTTCTCTCTTTCCAGATCACTCCTTATCTGGTCAAGTTCCTCTCTTTCCATCTTTGCTTTTATTCTAATTTCTTTTTCTTTACTAATCTGTGCTTTCAGCGAGTCTAGTTCTTCTTTTTGGAGTGTAATATAATTTCTCTGTTCGTCCATCTGGTCCAATAGTTTCTGAACTTTTTCTTTGTACTTTTTATTCTTTTCTAGCTCAATCTCTTGTGTTTTCTGGACAAGTGCTGATCTCTCTAATTTGATTGCTTCTCTCATATCTTCCATTTGTTCTCTTTGTGTCATTGTTTCAGACCGCATCTTCTCCAGGTCTTCTCTTTCCTGTTCAATCATCTTCCTGTCATTGTCCATTTCAGTTTTCTCTCTTTCCAATTCCCTCTTTATCTGATCAAGTTCTTCTCTCTCCATCTTTACTTTTACTCTCATTTCTTCTTCTTTCTCCTTTTCTTTCATAATATGTTCTTGCAGTGTGTTCAACTCTTGTATTTTTAGGCTTATGTCTTGTTGTTCCTGCTCAGCTTTAGTCTTCAGCTCCAGGATCTTGACTTTGATCTGTTCTAGACTTTTTGTTTCTTCTTCCATCTCCTCCTGTTTCATTAAATCCTTTTCCTTCTGTTGTCTGACTTGAGTATGAAATTCATCAATTCTTTGCTGTAACTTTATCCATTTATTGTTTGTTTCATCTTTCTCTTGCTCTAGAAGCTCTCTGTATTTTCTCAGCTCTAGTTTTTGTTCATTTATGTTTGCGCTCATCATTTCCAGGTCTTCTTTTCGTCTATTCGTTTCTTCAGTGACACTCTCAAGTTCTTCCTTTTCCTTTTGTAGAAGAGCTTCCATTTCTTTCAGTGTTTCTCTCTCCTTCTTTATTTCATCTTCCATGCATCTGATTTGTTCACTCTCTTTTTGCAGTTTAGTCTTTATATGAGCCTGACAATCTTTTTCATCATTGATCTTTTGTCTCTCAAGTTCAAGTTTTTCTTCATGGAGTTTAATATAATTTCTCTGTTCTTCTACCTCATCCAGTATCTTCTGTACAATTTCTTTGCTCTTCTCAATGTCACATTTTTCTAGATCAGTCTGTTTTATTTTGTTGTCAAGTTCTGATCTCTCTTCTTCTATTTGCTTTCTTTGTAACATTATTTCAGACCTCATCTTCTCCAGGTCATTTCTTCCTTGTTCAATCATATTTCTGTCATCATCTATTTTCTTCTGCTCATGATCTATTTCAGTTTTCAGTCTTTCCAGATCACTCTTCATCTGATCAAGTTCCTCTCTCTCCATCTTTAGTTTTACTCTTATCTCTTCGTCCCTTTGTTGTCTATATTCTTCAGATTCATTCCTCATGTTCTCCAGATCTCTCCTCTCCTCGTTCACAGCACTTATACTCTCCTCCAGTCTTTGCTGCTGTTGATTAATTTCAGCCTTTTCAGTCTCTAACTCATATTTGATTTCTTCCATTTCGTCTCTTTGTTTTTGTATTGTCTTCTGGAGAACATCCAGCTCATTCCACTTCTTCATCATGTCCTTTTTTTCTTTCTCTATTTCATCTCTCTGTCTCAGAATTTCGCTAGCCTTTTCCTCAAGAAGCTTTTTCTCTTCATCCATTGATCTTTTACTCATCTCTTCTTTTTCTTTTTGTTCTGTCATGTGCGTCTCCAGGTCATCAGCTTGTCTTTGCAAATCTTCCTTTTCCTTTTCAATGTTATTTCTCTCTTTTTTCAGATGGTCTTTCTCAGTCTTAATCAGTTGATTTTGCTCTTCTATGTCATCAATAGTCTTTTCTAGTTCAGTCTTCTTCCTCATATTTTCTTCCATGGTATTGGCACATTGATCCATCATTTGTTTAAGGTGGGCCTCCCTTATCTCCATATTTTCTTGCTCCCTTTTGATCTCTTCTAAGATGCTTTTCAGATTTTCAGCATCATTCTGCACCTCAGATTTTGTCTGGTCAACCAGTTTTCTTTCCTCTTGGAGTTTTTCTGCTTCAGTTCGGATCACTTCTTGTTGTTCCACCAGCTTGACTTTCGTGATTTCCAGATCTTTCATTAACTTGTTAGTTGTGTTCCTGTTTTCACCAATGTCTTGTTTTTCTCTTTGTATGTCATCTCTCAATTGTGAAAGTTCTTTTTCCTGGTTTGCAATAGTCGTCATGTCCTCTTGCATTCTTTGTCTCTGAGCTTCTAGTTCAATTCTCAACTTATCCATTTCCCTTCTTTCTTCCGTTATCTCTCTTACACTTTGATCCAGGTTTTGCTGCTGCTCAGTAATATATTTATTTCTCTGCTCCAGCTCAGTCTTCTGAATCATCACTCTTTGTCTCATTGATTCTATTTCATCATTTACCCTATTTATGTCAGCTTTCTCTTTTTCAGTTTGCTCTCTCTCAGTAAGAAGCTTTATCTTAATTTTTTCCAGTTTTTCTCTTTCTTTCTCTAGCTCTTCTAACTGGACTTGAACCTTATCTTTCTGATGTTTAGTCCAGATCTGCAGATCATCTTTTTTCTGCTTCATTTCTATATTTTTGTTGTCTATTTCATGCCTTATCTTCTTAAGCAACTCATAGTCCTTATTAATTTCTTGTTTTTGCAGTTCTATATCAACCTGCATCTCTTCAAGGGCATGTTGTCTCTTACTGGTTTCCTCAGGAACATTATCTAAATATTCCTGTTCAATGTGAAGCTGAGCAGCGATCCCATCTAATTCTATGTTTCTCTTCTCTACGTCCCTTTCCTTCCTCTGTATGTTTAGCTCTTTTTCATCAAGAGCATTCTGCTTGTCTTGCATGCGTTGCTTTTGTAGTTCAATTGACTGAATCTGATGGTGTATTTCACCTTGCATTTGTTCAACCTTGTCTCTTTCTTTGTTGGTCATGTATTTTATGTTTTCCATTTCTTCTTTGGCTTTCTGAAGCATTTGCTTCTCTTCATTCATTTTTATGATGTTAAGCTCCAACATCTGTTTCTGCTGTTCAGTTTCAAATCTCTGTTTTTCCAGATTTTCTCTCTCTTTTTTGTTTTCCTCACTGGTTTGATCATTCTGCTGCTGCTGGTTGAGTACCTCGACCTGCCGTTCCTCAATGTTTAATTTTTCCAAAATAAGTTTCTTTTTCAAAATGTCATTTTCATTTTGCTTGTTCTGTATCTCTGCTCTTAAAGCTTCTAGTTTGTTTCTTAAAGTCATCAAGTTATTTATCTCTTCCTCTGTTTCTTGTTTTTCACGAAGAAGTTCTTCCTTCATCTCCTCAAGGGCCAGTCTGTCCTTTTGTATCTGCTCAATCTGGTCCATCATTTGTTTTTCCAAGTCTTTCTTTTCTTTGTCAATTTCTGTCTTTTCCTTTTCAAGCATCACTTTTGTTTTCTCAATTTCTTGCTTTCGTCTCTCCATCTCCTTTATCGTCTTATCAAGGTCCCTCATTTTCATTTCAGTCTCTTCAGACAAACATTTAATTTCTTCTCTGTCTTTATCTAGTTGGATTTTAATTTCTCTTTCTTTCTCCTTTAGGTTGGTGTCTATTATTATCATTTTATCTGTCTGTATCTTTATCTCAGCTTTTGTCTTTTCAAGATTAAATTTATCGTCTTGAAGTCGTTGATTATCCTTTTCGATTTCTACTTTTGTTCTCTCCAGGTCAACCCTCATTTGCAGTAATTCTTCCATTTCTTTATCAATCTTTTCTTTCTTACTTTTAATGTCATCTCTAATTATTTGCAACTCACTGTGAAGTTTGTTAGTTTCTTCCCTCTGTCTCTCTAATTGTCTAATTTCTTCCTCCACTCTTTGCTTTTCACCCTCAATTTCCAGCCAGCATTTCTCTTGATCCTTTCTTTCCTTCTTGATAACATTTTGGATCTCTTTGGATTCTGCTCTTATCTGTTCTAGTGCATTCTTCTCATCTTGTACATTCAGTTTCTCATGTCTTAGATTTTGTAATTGCTTCTCCAGATCATTTTTCATGTTTTCAAGTTTGGCCTTCTCTTGATCCATCAACGTTCTGCTGATTTCAAGCCACTCTTTTTCTTTCTGTACTTCTTCAGTCAGCTTTCTGTATTCATTGCGTTCTCTTGTAATTGTTTCACCCATTTCCATTAATTGCTGTTTCTCCTCTTGAATTTCGGCCTCCTTTCTTTCCAGATTACTTTGAATCTCCTTCTTGATTTTATACATTTCATTTTGAATCTGTTTCAGCTGCTGCTGCTCTTCCATTAAAGTTTTTACTTTGTTTTCAAGCTCACTTTCCTTTCTTTGCAGTTCTTCTCGAAGTGTATCCAGTTTCTGTTTTTCTGAATATACATTTTTCTTCTCTTTGTCAACATCATCTCTTTCCTTCAGAATGTCCACCTTCATTTGCTCTAGAGCCTCTTTGTGATTTTGAATCTCTTGTTTCGCCATCTCATCTTGTTCTTTCTGTTGTAAGGCTTTTCTTTCCAGGTCCTCTGTTTCTCTCACTAACGCTTCCCTCTTAAGCTGCAGATGTGTCATTTCCCTTTCATAAACATCCCTGCCATTTTTCAGTCGTATCTTATCATCTTGAAGTTCTGCACTGATTATATTGAGATCTTCCTTCTTGGTCTCTATTTCTGTGATGATATTCTCTATATCTTCTCGTTGTGTGTGAAGTTTTAGACTGAAGTCTGTTAATCTGTCTCTCTCATTGTTTGCTTCCTGAATGAGTCTGTCAGTGATCTCTGACTTTTTCTGAAGCTCAGCATTCTTTTGTTCAATCAAATGTCTCTCTGTGCTGACCATTTGCTTCATTTCTTCCACTTGCTCTTTTTCTTTGTTTAGTTCACTCTTCATTTCCTGTAGTTTCTCCTCCATTTTTGCAGCAATGTGGAGCTTTTCATCAAGTTTAGCCCTCTCTTTTTCTAGTTCATTCTTCATCTTTTCTAGGTTTTTCAGCTCCACATCATAAGCCTTCATGGCAGCACTCACTTCATGCCTCTGTTGATTGATTTCAGCTTGTTCATCTTCTAACCGATCCTTCTCCATAATCAAAGCATGTTTTGAAGATTCGACGTCAATTCTCTGTCGCTGTAGTTCACTTCTAGAGAGCTCCAGCTCTTGCTTCTCTTGCCTTAAATTGTCCATTTCTTTTTCTATATCTTTTTGCTTCCTCAGTATTTCCATATTGATCTTTTCAAGTGTATCTTTCTTTTTCTCTATTTCTTCAACAATCCAACTTTTCTCTTCCAACTCATGTTTCTGCTTCTCCAGTATCTGCTCTCCTCTCTTTACTTCAGAAGTAATGCCTTCCAGTTCAGCCCTTTTCTTTTCATGCAGGGTTTTCATTTCTTCCATGGTTTGCCATAGGTTTTGTATATCTCTGTTGAGTTGTTCCAGATCACTCTTGTTTCTCAAGAGTTCCTCAGTGACATTTTGCAGTTCTTCCTTGTTCTTTCTTGTGTCCTTAAACTCTTCCATTATTTCTTTAGTTATTTCTACCTTAACCAGCTCTCTTTTGGTCTCCACATCCTCCTTTTCTCTGTTTATCTCATCCTTCCGCTGCTCCAGTTCTTCTCTTTCTTTCTGCAGCATTTCTTTCATGCTCTCTTCCTCCTGTTGCTTTTCTGCAAGCTCTGCTCTCATCTTCTCCAATTCATTCTTGTCTCTTCTGGTGGTTTCTATCTCTTTTCTAAGGCTTCCAAGATTTTCCCGTATTTGTCCAATATCTTGAATGAGCCTCTGGATCTCAGACTTGAAGTTTTCCTTTTCATCTCTCACCACCTTACTTTCCTCCATCCTGCTCTCCATGTCAACTTTTAGATTTCTCACCATTTCCCTGATTTTCACAACCTTTAAAATTAGTCTTTGGATGTCAGCATTGGTACTTTCCTCATCTTCTAGATTCACAGTTTTCTCCACCAATAGCTCAAAATCCTCTCTTGCACTTTGAACATCATTCCTGAGTATTTCCAGCTCCTGCCGCTCTCTGTTGATCTCCTCTCTCGCCTTTGCTATCTCAGTCTTCATTTTCTCCACCTCATCCCTCTTTCGTATCACTTGTTTCATCTTCTGGTCCAGATCTTTCTTTTCTAGGACTATTTCAGACCTTAAGACTTCCAGTTCTCCCTTCTCATGTGTCATTTTCTGAATCCTTGTTTCTATGACTTCTCTCTGGCTCTGTATATCCATCAGCTCCACCTCTCTCGTGTCCTTTTCATGCTGTAATATCTCAGACCTCATGTTTTCTAGCTCATCCATCTGATGTTTTAAGTCTGCTTTAGTTTTCTGAAGTTCTACCTGCTGTTGATCCAGCTCAGCCTTCAACTCTGTCAGTTTGTCTATTTGTCTGTTAATTTCATCTGTCTGACTCTTACTCTCTTCTTGCTGGTCGTCCATGCTTAATGATTCCATTTTCTCCCTTAATTCCTCTGAATCTCTCCTCATTACTTTCTTTTTTCTGGAAGGTTTAACTGTTTGTACTGTGCTTTCTCTAGTTGTTTCTTCTAGAAGGTTTTTGAGAATTTCGTATTGTTTCTTCATGTCAACATTTTCTTTCTTCAGCAGTTCATTTTCGTCATGAAGTTTTTGTTTGTCCAATGCCATTTCTTGTTTTTGTCTCTCCAAATCAGTTCTATTTTGCTCAAGATCACTTCGCTCTTTGCTCAACAAGTCTTTGGTACTCTCAATTTGCTGCTTCTTTTTTTGTATCTCCTTGTTCTGTTGCTCATAGGTTTCCTTCATGCCCTGTTTCATGGCTTCGACTTCCTGTCTCATGTTCTCCAGTTCAAATCTTTCATTTCTAGCAGCCTTGACTTCATCTTTCATTCTTCTGAGAACCTCTCTGACATGCTCAATTTCCTGGATCAGCCTCTGCATGTAAGCACTCATTTTTTGCCTTTCCTCTGAATCCGCCTGAACATTAACATCTCTCTGCATGCTTCTTTCCAGGTCATGTTTTGTTCTCCAGGCCATTTCCCTAGTCTTTTCAGCCTCTTGAATAAGCCTCTGTATCTTGGTGTTTATTTGTTCTTTCTCTTCCAGATCTCCACCTCTTTCTTCCGTATGAGATTGTAGTTCTTCTCCCGCTCGTTGTTTCTCAGCTTTCATTCGATCCATGTCATCACGCTCTATACTTAACATGACTCTGTCCATTTCAAGTTTCTCATTTGCACTTTCAATATCAGCTCTCATTTTATCCAGCTCATCTCTCTTTCTCGCTGCCTGTCTCATCTTGTTATCAAGATCTTTCCTCTTGCTATCAGTTTCATCCTGAAGAAGCTTCAATTCTTTCATCTCACGTTTAGTCTTTTTCATCTTGTCCTCTAATTCCTCTTTCTGTCTGAGTATTTCTGCTCTCATACCAATAAGTTCCTCTACTTCTGATTGTCTTTTAGTCTCAAACTCTTCTTTTTGGATTAGAATATTTGATTTGATCTCCTCATATTTCTCCATTTCTTGTTTAGCCTCTCTCAACATTTTGTCATTTGCTTTTCTTTCTTTTGCTAACTCGGCATTCATTCGCTCTAGTTGAACTCTTTCATCTTGAATATCCTGTTTTTGAACTTTTAACTCCTCTAATTCTTTATGCAGATTTGATTTATTTTGTTCCATATCATCTATGTCTCGTTTCAGTTGCGTTCTGCTTTTCTCAGTCAATTCCTTTTCATCCAAAAGCTCTTTCCTCAGCTGTTCCACATTTTCAGTGTCCTTCTTTAGTGTCTCCATCAGCTGACACTGCTCTAACAGTTCACCTCTTTCTCTCTCTATGTCATGTTTTTGCTTTAAGATCTCCACTCTCATCTGATCAAGACTCTCTCTCTCTTTCTGCAGGTTTGCATGAGTGATGTCACTCTCCTCGGATTGTCTTTTGAAATGTTCCTTGGTTTTTTCCAGATCCATATTTTCCTTTATAACAATCGCTTTGTCTACAGCAATGGCTAGTTTTTGTCTTTCTATCTCAGCTTGTATTTCATCCAGGGTGTCATTTTTCATTTTGATCTCCTTAGCAAATTGTTGCCTCTCTTTTTCTAACTCTTGTGCAGCCCTCTGCCTTTCTTTCTGAACTTCTAGCTTCAACTTTTTAATATCCTCTCTATTCTTTTCTAGCTCGTCTTGCTCATTTTTAAAAGCTTGTTTCTCATTTTGGAGGTTTTCCAAGTCTCTAGCCAACTCAGCTCTCTTTTGTTCCAGATTCTCAAAATCAGCCTTTTCTTTTATTTTGTTTTTCATGTCATCCATTTCTTTTTGTTTATTTTGAAGTTCTGTTCTCATTTGTTCTAGTTCATTCTCTTTGTGTTGTATTTTTTCCTTCTTATCTTCAATTTGAGCTATTTGTCTCAAGTTATTTGTACTCTTTTGCTTCAGAATGTCTTTATCTCTCTGCAAGTCAGTTTTTTGTCTATCTAGTTCTTCCATGGCTTGGTTTATCTCTGCCTTGGTTTTCTCCAGCTCAGATCTTTCTTCTTGAAGCAAGTCTTTGGCGGACTGAATTTCCTTTCTTTGCTTCTCTGTCTCATCCATGAGCTCTTCCGCCTGTTGGTAGTCCGCTGGAATACCACTGACGTCTAATTGCTTTTTAAATTTGGCTGCCATCTCTTCTGCCCTCCGTCTTTCATTGTTTGTCTTCTCAGATAGTTTCTCCAAGTCTTCAGCTTGTCTTTGAAGGTCGGTTTTCATCCTCTCTAGTTCCTCCTTCTCATTTTCAAATGTGTGTTTCTCAACTTTTAGATTCTTTAATTCTTTCTCCATATCCACTTTTTGCCTCTCCATAAGATCCACATTTTTGGTCAACAGCTCTCTGTCTTTTTCAACCTGATCCTTTTCCGCCAGTAATTTTAGTCTCAGTTGTTCACATGTCTCCTTTTCTTCCTCTAGACTGACTATCTCTCTCTCTATATTTCTCTTCTGTGCCATCATTTCCACTCTTTCTCTTTCTACGTTGGTCATTTCTGTCTTTGTGAATTCCATTAGATCATCAACCTCTCGCTGTAATAGATCAATGTCAGTTTGTCTCTGGTCCAGTTGACTCATTTCCATCATGATTGTGTTTTTCAGTTCATCCATTTCATGTTGTTGTTGTAAAATGTGTTCCTGAAGCTTTGCAAGTTCACTTTCTCTGCGAGAAAGACTTTCATTCGCTTTTTGAATAGTCTCCACTTGTTTTGAGATTTTCACCCTCGTTTCTTCAAGAGCGTCTCTCTCTGTCCGCATCTCTTTTATTGTCTTCTCATTCTTTTCTTGCTGTTCTGCAAGAAGTTTGTTGGCTTTAGCAATTTCTGTTTTGATTTTCTCTAAATCAGTCTTCTCCATTTCAAACTCAGTTGCTGGCTTTTGTTGATTAAATTTTTGAACATTAATCTTCTCGTTAAGGCTTTCGAGATTACTTCTCTCTTCCTGAAGTTGAGCTGACATTTCTTCTAGCTTCTGTCTTTCATTTTGCATGTCATGCTTTTCCATTTCAATGTGTTCGGCTTCACTTTGCAGTTCAGCTCTCATCTGTTCCAGTTTGTCCTTTTCATCTTCAATAAACTTCTTCTCTAACATCATCTCCTGTTTATGAGGTAAATCCTCAGCTTCAGGTAAGTCTGACTTTTGGCTCTCAACATCTGTTTCTAATGCATCTTTTAAGTCCATTTCCAGCATCTGCTCCATCAAGACACTTTTTCCATCTGGATCTGACATTTCTTTGTCTGTTAAAGATTTGACTACATCCACGTCACTCTGTTGAAGAACTATTTCAGCCTCTGATTTCTCAAGCAGACTCTCTTCTGTTATGCCAAACCTCAGGTGATCAATATTTCCTTGTTTTCTTTCGATGTCTGCCCGCATTCTTTCAAGTTCTTCCTTTTCTATTCGTAACTCTTGCTTTTCATCTTCAAGTGCCATTTTTTCTCTAGTTATTTTCTCACTCATCTGTTCAAGCATGTTTCTCTCTTGTTGTATCTCTGCCAGTGTGATCTCAATGTTTGTTTTTTGTTCAGAAAGCTGTTTTTCAAGCTCTTCCTTGGTTTGAGACATCTCAGCTTTGGTTTTCTCTAAGTCAGACCGTTCCCTTCTAATCAAGCCTTTGCCTCTCTCAATTGCTTCTTGTTCCCTTTGTATTTCAGTATAGGTTTCATCAAGAATATCTCCCTTCTTTTTAATTTCCTCAATGAGATCATTGATTTCTTTCCTCTCTTTCTGGAGTTGAGCTGTCATTTCCTCCCGTTTTTGTCTTTCATGTTGTGTTTCTAGTCTGATCTTCTCAATCTCTTGTATTTCTCGTTGCAGGTCAGTTTTGATCTGTTTTATCATTTCCTTCTCATTCTCCAAAGCTTCTCTCTCAAGTTTCAGACTCTCTGAATCTCTGTCTACATTAACTAGTTTTTGTTGCAGATTTTCCATGTCTCTCTTCAGCAGTTGTCTACCATTTTCCGACATTTCCTTTTCAGTCAATATCTCCTTCATCTGAAGCTCAACATCTTCATACTTTTTTCTCAGCTCAGTCATCATGTCCTGTTTTTCCCTGATCATTGCAGCTCTTTCACTTTCAATGTTGTTCTTTTCCTTTTCCACTTCACTTTGTTGTTTATGAATCTCTGCTTGTAGTATCTCTAGTTCATCTTCTCTGAGTTTCATTTTCTCTTTCTCATTTTCAATGTCATCAGTTTGTTTGGAGATGTTCAGTCTCATTTGCTCAAGGTTGTTTTTCTCTCTTTGAAGATCTGCAATTAAAGACTCATTTGCAACTTTCATTTCATCAAGGATTTTATTATTTTTCTTTGTATCTTCATTAAGATGAACAATATCTTCTCTCTCTTTCTGAAGTTCTTCAGCCATCTTTTCCAAACTCTGTCTCTCATTTTGTGTTTCTTCTTTGAGCTTTCGGATATCATCAGCTTCTCTTTGCAGCTCAATCTTCATCTGTTCTAACTTGTTCTTCTCATCTTCAATCACTTGTTTCTGAAGTGTCATCATCTTTAGGTCTTCATTCAGATCTTTTCTGCTTTGGTCAACATCATCTCTTTCTTTCTTCAGTTGCTGTTTCTGTTCTTCCATCTCTTGTTTATCTTTATCTAGGTGTTTTCTTTCATTCCTCATTTTTTCCATAATGTCACTCACTTCTGTCTGTTGTTTGTCTAACTCGGATTGTCTCAGATCAAGCTGACTTCTGTCTTTTATTATAATGTTTCTGTCATTGTCTTGTTCTTGTTTCTGATTATAAATTTCAGTTTTCAGTTGTTCAATTTCATGTTGTTTTTGTCTCATTTGTTCCTCTTGATCTTTATTAATATCATGTATTTGTCTTGTGATGGTCTCATTCATCTCCTTTAGGGAGGCTCTCTCTTTCTGTATCTCTGCCAGTATGATTCCTTGCTTTTCTCTTTCTTTTTCAAGATCCTCCTTGGCTTTAGCAAGTTCACTTTTGATTTTCTCAAGATCATGTTTTTCCTTCTCAAGCATGTCTCTATCAGATTGAATGGCTTTAGTTTTCACTTCAATTTCTGTGTTCATTTCATCCAAGACCATGTCTTTTCTTGTTGTCTCCTCAATAAGATTGTTGATTTCTTCTCTCTCTTTCTGGAGTTGAGCTGTTATTTCCTCCAGTTTTTGTCTTTCATGTTGTGTTTCTAGTCTGATCTTCTCAGTCTCTTGTGTTTCTCGT